TTTTCTGGTTGGAATAACGATCTATGGCACAATAAAAAAAACAATTTGTTAATTTAACTTAGCAATAACTTCATGTCAGAAATGAATGTCATAACCAAAATGTGTGACAAAAATAGTTTAGGTATTCAAAATGCTATTAATCATTTAAATAACAGCAAAAAGAGAAAAATAAATATTAATGATTGGAAAGACGTAAAAAGAAAATGTCAAAAAGATGCAGGGCAATCATATATCTCGAGAAAAAAGAAACAACTTATTGATGAAAAAGTTCCACCGCAGCAAGTAAATATAACCTTTGTAAAATAATTTTTTTATTTATTAACGAATTTGACAAATTCTAATGTATATTTATTTTAAAATAAAAATATAAAATGGAATATTAAATTATATATTTAAAAAAACATCTTATTTCTTTTATTTATTATATCGTATTTTTTGACAGAATCGAATTTGTAATCCACGGACTTGTAACAAAACTGGATGTATCGAGATAACATTACAAGATAAGATGTGTTATTATGAAGCTTTTTACAAAGTTCCTTATGATGAACAATCTTTCATTCTCTGTGGCTGTATAAAAAAGTGCAAAACTAAAAGAAGAAAGAAGGGCAAAACAGACCTTTCATCACGAAAAGGAGTCTCTTTTGAGTATAATCTTAACGGAAAGCCGGTTTGCAAAAAAACATTAATTCATACATATTCAATAACTAATAGACGCATTCAGACACTGCAAAATAAATTGAAAATGGGAATAGCTGTCCCAAAAGATAACCGTGGAAAACATAAATCGAGACCACATTTGATTGACGAAAGTACTTTGACTTTAGTTAAAAATCACATTGCCAGTTTTCCAAAACAAGAATCGCATTACGGTCGTTCTAAAAGTGAGAAAGAGTATTTAAGTTCTGATTTAAATTTAACTCGAATGCATAATGCATTTTTAAAGCAACATCCAGAAGTCCAACTGAGCAAGTCATCTTACGGCAATATATTTAAAGAACATTTTAATTTACAATTCGGGCATCCTAGAACAGATACTTGTAGACAATGTGACTTATTGCATGTGCAACGAATCGCCGCATCTTCTCAGGAAGAATTAGAGAAAATAACCATGATAAGCCAACAACATCACGAAAAGGCAGAAATTTCATACAAAAATTTAAAAGAAGATTGCTCGAGATCTGAAATTGACAACAACGTCGTTACACTCTGCGTTGACTTACAACAAGTCTTACTGTGTCCCACACTTACTCATTCAAATAAGTTTTATCAGAGACAACATTCAACCTACAATTTTGCGATTCATAATTTTCAGACTGGTGAAGCTGTTATGAATTTATGGACTGAATGCATTGCTAAACGTGGATCAGCTGAAATTGCCTCCTGTGTTTTGAAGCATATTATGGATAATTACCCTCTTCTGAAAAATAACGAAGAAAGGAAACTTATTGTTTGGAGTGATCGTTGTGTTGGTCAGAACAATAACTGGCGAATGTTATCCTTATATCATTACTTGGTTAAATCAAAATATTTCAGCGAGGTAAATCAAAAGTTCTTAACTACGGGACATAGCTTTCTTCCATGTGATAGGGATTTTGCCTTAATTGAGAAGAGAAAGAAGAAAACTAATGTGATGAGTCCTTCAGATTGGAAGTATGTAATAGCTGAAGCTAATTTATCCAAACCATTCAAAATAAATGAAATGCAATCAAGTGACTTCAAAGATTTTAGTCCTATTGAAGCGGACACGATCAAAAATAATAAAATGAAGATTACTGAAGCTATGTGGCTTAAAGTTAGTGCTGATGATCCAAATTTCGTATATTCTCGTGCAACACATAATACATCCGAGGCTTGGAAAATATTTAAAATCGTGGAAACAGAGGAAAATGAGCAGAAGAAAAAACAAACTACAGGCCGGAATAAAAAACAACCGAAACGAGTTCCACCTTCCATTAAAAAAACTTTGATTTTACCACATGAATTGCCCAATCTTTACGATAGTTTATTGCCCTTGAAAAAAGAAAAAAAATCTGATCTCCTGGATATGTGTAAATTTTTAAACAGAGATGCTAGGGAATATTATGAAAATCTTCCAGTTGTTGATTAAAAATTTTATGCTTTGTTATATTTCTTTTCACTAGAGTTTAATAAAACGAGGTTCTTTCTTTAACTGAGTTTTAATTTTGAGAATTTGTCATTTATTAATTAGAATTATTAAATTATTTTTAAAACTATTATTAAAATTATTAAATTAAATAAATATAATTATATAATATAATTATTATATAATAATTATATAATTATATAATAATTAATTATTATTAATTATTAAATTAAATTATTCAAAACTATTATTAAAAATATTTAATTATTAAATTAAATTATTTAAAACTATTATTAAAATTATTTAATTATTAAATTAAATTATTAAAAATTATTTATTAATTCGAAAAATCTTTAAAAACTATTATTGAAAATGTAAATTTAATATTCGCCTATATTCATACGAAAAAACATTTGCCTATCTCTATAGGTTGTAATGGAATAACGATCTATAGCACGTGAAAAACTCGCTTATTTTTTAATTTTTATAAAAATATTTAATGAAAAAGTGCAATTTTTCATTTATAAGACATTCTTTAATCACTATCTTTCTGTTAAACAGCTACACTTATATTGCATATGCTAATTTGATGAAAGTTTTCGTTTTTTGTGTCTCCTGTAAAATTTCTAAAATGTGCCATAGATCGTTATTTTGTGGAGGTCTTCATCTACATATTTTAATAAAATTTTCCAAAAAAATTCAATTATTTAAAAAAATATTTAATAAAATCGTGCACAAACATTTAATTATTGTCAAAAATTTAGTGTCTTAATTCCTGTGGAAAAATAATAATAATTAAATATTTATTTAAAAAAGACATTATTGATGTTTTTGAATAATTTTACAATTAAAGAAATTCGTAAAAATGTAACGGAACATTTTTTTGAGTAAAATTCTTTTACTTTATTTTCTAAAAAAATTCAAAAATTTTCATTTTCAATGGAAATTTGTAATTGACAAATAGAATTAATAAACGTTTGTTAAGTTTATTTTTGAAAAAACTTTGAACTTTATTAAAACAATTGTAATTAAAAAATTGAAATAATGTAAATTATTCCCTTATGAAAATTGAAAATTTTCTACAAAAATATTAAGAAACGGGAATACCTATGTAATGTTTTTTTTCCCAAAATAAAAGAATGAGTTTGTGAACAATATTGTTATTGAGAAATAAAATATATGCATAAAATGGATATTTACTTACTATTTCTTAATCATAATTTTTTAACAAATTTTCTATTTTTTATAAATAAACAAGAGAAAAATTTGCATAAATGAAATCAGTGAAACGAAATTTGTTATAAAAAAAGCATATAATAAACAAAATGGATAAATTTTTCATTTGTTAATCATCATTTTTTTTTTAATTTTCTTATTTCTAATATTACTTTATTATGAATCATGAAAAAATACCTGCATATTTTCGATTTGTCAAAACAAATTTTTTCTAAGGAAAAAAAAACAAAAGAATACACAAAAACTAACTTCAAGTGTGGACAGAATGAAAGAATGAATTATAGGATTATTATAGTTAATTATTATTTTTCCTTAGGAATTAAAATTCTTCAATACATTCAAATTCAAATCTTTTTGAAATTCAACGATTTATAAGAATATTATTACAAAACATAAAGAAGGCGATCGCCTTCTTTATGTTTTGTTATAATTTAAATTACCATACAATTTTTCAAAATAAGTCAATTATTTACAAAAATCCTAATAAAATCCTTCGCAAGAATTCAATTATTTTTACGAGCAGTACAATTTCTAAAAAAAATTCAATTATTTAAAAAAAAGGTAATAAAATTCGTTGCAATAATTTCAATTACTTTCATAAATAATAATAAATCGATTATTCGTTAATTGGTTTTAAAATTAATTTTTATAAGAAAATTCTACGGGAATTAAATTATTTAAATACAAAAATAAATAATTTATTGAATAATTGAATGTTTGTTAAAATTGAATTCTTATAAAGAGTTTTATTAATAAATTTTTAAATAATTGAATTTTTACAACGAATATTATTCAAGTTAATAAAAGAAAGGAATTTCGGTGAAGAATTTTATTATTTATAAAAATAATTGAATTCTTGAAAAAATTTTATGAAAATCTTTTTATATAATTGATATTTTTCGAAAAATTTTATGAAATTTTGTATTTAAAATAATTGAATTCCTGTGAAAAATTTTATTACTTATGAAAATAATTGAATTATATCGAAGAAATTTATTAAAAATTGAATAATTGAATTCCTGTGTGATTTTGTCAAAAATTTTATTAAAACTTTTTAAAATAATTGAATTTCAATGTAGTATTTTATTATTTATAAAGATAATTGTAATTTAGACGAGAATTTTTTTTAAATTTTTGAACATAATTGAAATTCTGCGAAGAATTTTTGTAACTGTTGAAAATAATTGAATTTCTGTAATCATTTGTAACTTTTCCAAAATTCAATTTTTTTAGTATTTTCAACTAAAATTCTTCTATCAATCTAGTATTTATAAAAATTGTAAAAATTATTTATAAAATAATTTATAAGTCATAATTATATGATAGTTTTTGAAAATTTAAGTTATTTAAAAAGAAATTATTGACAGAAGTAGAAAAAAATTGAAGGTTTTGTATTAAAATTTGTGGTAATTTCATAGTTTACGAGTCAAAAAGAAAAAAAAATTCATTTTTCTCATGAATTTTAAAAATTCAATTTTTTACAGTACTTTTCCCTGACCAATTTTACTTTCCCTGACTTTTCCCTGAATTCCCTGACCTGTGGCAACCTTGTAGTAGAATAATGTAAAAAAAAGTAGTAAATAGTAGGTTTTAGTATAAGAAAGACTGCGAAGCGTGGACAAATCACATCAAGAAAATCAATCTTTTTATGTTTTAGATTCTGGAGGTGTTCAATTTTGAAGTTTTCAATTTTTATTTTAATCAAAGGCCTCGTAAAATGAGTGAAGGATCGTCTGCTTAATAAATTAAGAATGATTATGACCGATCAGCATTAATTGGCGTCGACTTTTTAAATTGATTACAATATTCGTAAGGATCACAATGTTTTCCTCTCAGTGTTGCCTTGTAAAACCATTATAAATGACTCAAAAATCTAGATCAAATTAATAAAGAGAAAGGAAAACTAACACAGACCTTCGATTCAAAGAAGAAGCAATTTTTATAATCAATATGAAAATCACAAAAAAATGGAAGAAAAGTTGCATCGATATCGACAACGAAACAAGGAACCAGGAATTGAATTGGTTTTCCAATATTAGTATTAAAATTGCACCAGCGCCAGCAAAAACTCCAACATCCTCAACAGCTCATAAACCTGCGTAAGGTTAAAAACTATGATTGGTCGAAAAGTTAGTTAGAGAATAATTGTTACTACAAAAATTGGAATTCTAATTATTTTCTTTACTGTGAACTTAAAAGTGCTTATATAATTATACATTTTTAGGCAAATGCTAAATAAATAATAAACACCCTGAAAACCATAAAATTTTTAAATATTTTATTTTCGCCAATGAAAAAATGTTTAAAACTGAGTTTTTTTTCTAGAAGTGATAAATATAACAATAAAATATGCTATGTTTTCATAAATTTGTCTTTTTAATTAATTACTTTTTATATAAATCACACTTATAATGTGTATGGAAAAATATTGTTTAAGACCTGGAAAACCTGGAAAAGTCAGGGAATTTCATTCGAGAAAAATTATAGCAACCCTGTTTCTGTTTTATGACCTTCTTTCGAATTTTTCTTTAGTGATATGATTAAAAATGATTAAATGCTATGGTATATGTATTTTTATGCATTTAAATCTTGAAATTATTTTTTTTTCTTTTTAATAATTTTTTGATTGACATTAAATATTTAAGTTTTTTGGACTTAATTTTCCAGCCGACACGAAACGAAATGAAACGTAAATTTCAAAAACAAAATTTGCACAATCTAGCAGTTTTTTTATTTAAAATATTTAAAAAATATATATTTTTTCCCCATTTTTTCGACAATGGAAATATTGGTGAATAATCTACAGTTTAATAAACAGGCACGAAATATAATCCTACATATTTCATGAAAAATAAAAACTGCATTTAATATGTTATTTAAAAATTAAAATTAGGTTTACAAAAAAACAAAAATTAATTACACACAATTGATTTGCATTAAAAATTGTACTTTAATTTATAAATTTAATTTAACATTCTAAAATATATAAAAATGTCTACTACATTTTCTATAATAAAAAAACGCATTAAAAAGTATGATATAAACTTAAAACAAATAATGATAAGGATTATTAAAATAAGGACGCAATTGTTTTTCTTTATTATTCACAAACACCAACACCACAAAACACTAATTCAAAAATAAATATTCACTTTCACGTAATATTTAAGCAATTATAAAACTGTCACTACTTATTAAATTAAAATCAATATGTAAATGTAAACATTTAACTATGACATAACCTCACTTACCAAAAAAACTGTTACTACAGTTGGTAAAATAGAAATTAAAGTTACCTATAGTATAGAAAGAATCCAATAGGTAATGTGTATATTATATTTCCAAAAATGGATGCAAGTAGCGATTTGGTTGAGCGCGTTAAGGCGCTATCCCAGCAGCTGACTTTGAGACCTTTAGACTTATCAATCAGGCTATACAAAGGTTCGAGTCTGCTCACCCTCGCACGTTTAAGATTATTTTTTTTTCATTAAATACAATTTTTTATTTTAGGTCAATGAAAAATATGAAAATCTCTTAATTTTTTAAAACTTTTTAAACAATAAATTTGTCTACAAAAAAATTAAATAAGTTTTGGAAATTTCTAGATAATTTCCAAGAAACTACCTTTGGTAATTTCCAAGAAGTTTCCACGGGTAAATAACAAGAAGTTTCCAAAGAGAGTTTCCAGCAAACTTCCAGGAAGTTTCCGAAGGAAGTTTCCAGAGGCGGACATTGTTGTATTCCAGGGAAGCTTCCAGGAAGTTACCAAAGGTAACTTCCGAAGTTGCCATGGGAAACTTCCTGGAAGTTTTTGTGCTATCTGGGAAAAATATTGTAATGATATGATTTTTATTTGCTACGGAATTCCCAGTAAAAAAAACTAATTCAAACGGATTGAAATTAATTAAGATTTTTGGTAGAAAGCGGGATTCATTCAAGCTCTTTGTATATTCGATTGAATTTAATTTGCCTGAAGTTGTGCAAACGAATTCGCATTTGTAAGAAATGACCAAGGCATGCATTAAATTCGTGCTGACGAATTAAAAAAAATTAAAAGCCCCAAAACTTGTCCATTGAATTAGTAAGAATAGAAGGTTTGGAAGTTCAATACAGTTTGACGAATTCAGGAAAATTGCAACATAGCTCCAATTCGTATTTGTCACAAAGCGGGATTCACTGAAACTCTTTGTGAATTCTTTTTAATTTATTTCAATTAGTTTTTGTTTACTGGGTTCGCTCGCCGGATTAACAATTAGTGAATATTAGGTTGAGTATTACGTAATTTTGGTTTCTGCTCTGTGAATTCGAGAAGAGGTGTAGTCAGTAACGAGTCCAAATTTTAACCTTCGAAAGTGAATATATTATTGTTAATCAAAAGAAAATATTTAACAAATAATAAAAAGTAATAAATGTAAGAAAACAACAAGTATAAATATAAAAATTGTGTATATAAAATAATAGGGAGAGATGAAAAGGATCTTAACATTTGTTTCTCGTCAAAAGAAATACTTTAGTTAACATTAGAAATTCATTTAAATAAATAATACTAATTCTTATAGTTATTGGTTCTCACGGAGTTAAGTTGATATTTTGTTTGCATTAGATTTTAGTTACAAGTAATTACGCACTTTTATTTGCATTTCCGATGCAGGGATTTAATTCATATTCGCGAAACAGTTCTAGAATAAGTTTCCACGTTACGCGAGTCCGACGGTGCCTATGGCGCGCGTGCACTTCTAAGAATTAACTAAGGAGCACATAGGATGCTGCCGAAATTCTTGCCGTATAGTATGCGGTAACGAGTGAATATGAATATCGAGGATGGAAATTAATAAAACTAGGCGTACTTGTCAACTTTCCATTAGAGCACCCCTGGTTAGCAGGGCTGTTATAAAAGTGGAGGGGATGTGTACTAGACTTCGACAAAATATGTACTAGATTGTACTGTTACTAGCGCTGTTTCGTACTAGAATTGTACTTACTAGAACCAAAAGGGCGCGCGTTGCGTGCCCACTCCTAGTTCTTTAAGACAAAATAAAATCTTAATTTCCCAGGTGCGAATTTGGGTTGGCCGCCAGAGTTTGAAGGTTGGCCCAAGGTTGGCCTAACTTTGGCAAGCAAAGTCTTGGTTGCCAGAGTTTGCCCAACTTTGGCAAGTACTAGTGCCTACAGTTGGCCCGACTTTACAAGCCAACTATTACATGCAGAGTTTAACCAACCGTCGGGCCAACTTTGGCGACAAAGGTTGGCACAACTCATCCAAACGTAGTTTAAAAGACTTTCAGTTTCGATTGGCCGAACTCTGGGCCACGGTTGGCCCGACGGTTGGCAAAACTCAAGAAAAGCAGTATAATTGACTTGTAGTTTTTTGGTCGGCCGAACTTTGGGCCACGGTTGGCCCAACGGTTGGCAAAACTCTAGAAACGCAGTTTTATTGACTTAAACTTTCTTGGTCGGCCTAAATCTGGGCCACGGTTGCCCCGACGGTTGGCAAAACTTTTTGAAACGCAGTTTAATTGACTTACATTATTTTGGTCGGCCGAACTCTGGGCCACGGTTGGCCCAACGGTTGGCAAAACTTTGTCAAATGCAGTTTAAATGACTTAAACTTTCTTGGTTGGCCGAACTCTGGGCCACGGTTGGCCCGATGGTTGTCAGAACTCTGTGAATTGCAGTTTAATTGACTTACATTATTTTGGACGGCCGGACTCTTTGCCACGGTTGGCAAAACTTTGTCAAATGCAGTTTAATTGACTTATACTTTCTGGGTCGGCCAAACTCTGGGCCACGGTTGGCCCGACTGTTGCAGCTTTAATATACATTTTACGTTATGCACTCCCATGTGAGCGTAGCGTAGTGGTCAGTGTATAAGTCTTCGGTGCGTTAGGTTAGGGGTTCGATCCCAGCGAGCGTTAGATATTTTCGAAAATGTATGTATGAGATTGTGTTTAATAATAATAGGTAAAGGTTATATCTGATGTTCCCGCTAATAATAACGTGTTAATTGTTTAAATAATTTAGTTTTTTAATAATTTTTTACCTTTGGCGTTGAAGTTGGTCAAACTTTGAAAATTGTGGTTGGCCCAACTTACGCATCTAAAGTTGTACCAACATTGGCGTCAGTCTTTGGACCAACCATTGAAATGTATGGTTGGCACAACATATGCATTTTAAGAGTAGAGATGATTCTATCACTCAGTCGTATTTTAATAAATAGTGAAATTTAACGATCACTCCGAGTCAAGGAAAATAAAAATAAAAGAAATTCAATTCTTTTTACGTTTCGGCAGCACAGCTGCCGCATTATATGCATAATATGCATTTTAAGTTGGGCCAACTTCCATATGAGTTGTCGGGCCAACCATCGTCGCCATTAGACGGCGAACCGTTATCATCTGTATGGTTGGCCCAACCTCTGGCACGAGAAGTTGGAGCGACTTTGTAAAAGTTGGCCCAACTATAGGCCGACCAAAAAATCGCACCTAGGTTAAACCTTAATTTAATAAAAACCTGTTTATATTTTAAAAATTATTTTTCTGTTAATAAGATTGTTTAAAAGTTTTTCAATTTTTTTAATCTAAGTTTGACGACTTGCATTTTCTACAGTACCGTCCGAAATTGTCAGTCCACCCATTTTCAAAGGAATGACAAAAATTTTTTAACATAAAATTCATGAAAACTAAAATTTTTTTTGGTTTATATTTTGAAAGACGATAAAATTTTGAAAAGAATAAGACCTTACAGAAGTCATTTGGCCAAAATTTGTAGAAGATATTCTTAAAAATCGTCATTTTCAATGTTTTACAAAAATTTGAATAACTTCTAAAATAATGAACGCTTCTTAATAATCTTAGGCTTCTTTTAAAGACCATTTTCTACAGAACAAGAATTACTTATAGGCATTAACCTGTAATTTTTAACTTGGAATAAGCATGACGTCAAAGTTGGACAAAAAAATTCAAAAAATTTGAAATAATATTATTAAAAGAAAAATAATTTTTGAAATTCAAACATATATTTTTATTAAATTTTCTTGAAAAATCTACACCATATAATGTTTTATATATGCTCTAGAATAGTTTTTAGTACAAAAAATTGATTTCAAATTTTTCCAATTTTTTTGTCTAATTTTGACGTCATGCTTATTCCAAGTTAAAAATTACAGGTTAATGCCTATAAGTAATTCTTATTCCGTAGAAAATGACCTTTAAAATAAGCCTAAGATTATTAAAAAGCGTTC